TATATATATATTACACTGAGTCTTCACTTGGCTTGATTATCATTTTGTAGGATAATTATACTACTTAAGATATGTGACCTTTTATTCTTAATTGGATCGGCCCTTTTCTTTTTCGTCCATTTACTTAGCATTTTATACAACTATTGTATTAATAGTTTAGTCTTTAGAACAAAAAAAAAAGATAGTTTTTGGAAAAGAACGCTTCATTTTTATTTATTCGAAGGGGGTGCGGCCGTGTGTGGGGTAAAACACTTCCCTAAGGACCGTTGAAATCTAGCCTTAGATTCCGCCATGGACGAGCTTGAGCGAGAGAGAGTAGAAAAGACGATAGGGAGAGATAGAGAAATGAGAAGCAATTTTCTGTTAACTGTCTTGAACTGAAAATGAGCTGTACATCACCTATTTATCCTAACTAACACAACCTACTTTGTGAAAGAGGAAATTAACAACTAACTTCTTAACTAACTACCTTCTAGAATAGTACTACATAAATACAGAAATGTACAACTATTTTCAACTCTAATTTCAACACTTCCCCTCAAGTTGAGAATGAAAAAATATCTTTCATTCCCAACATGGAGACTAATACATCTGCTGGTTGCTCTTAACTGGCAATATAGGATGCCTTGATCAGCCTTTCTTGAATTTTTTCCGGATAAAAAGGCAGTCTATTTTTATGTGTTTTATCCTCTCATGATACATAGGATTTGCAGCAATTTACAATGCTTCTTTATTATCATAGAACAGCTTCATGGGCAGCTTTAAATTCACACTCAGCTCTTCTAATAGACCCTTCAACCACACAAGTTCAGCTACTGTGTGTGCCATGCTTCTGTACTCAACTTCAGCTGAGCTTCTAGATATAGTGTGTTGCTTCTTAGCTTTCCAGGATATGGTTGAACTTTCAAGCTTAATACAGCACCCAGTAACAGACTTTCTTGACATAGGACATGAGGCCCAGTCTGAATCATAGAATGCTTCTATTTCTTCTTTGTTGTCACTTGACATTAACAGCCCCAGCCCACGTTACTTCTTGATGTACCTTACTACATGAAGTGCTGCTTAATAGTGAGATTCCTGAGGTGCATGCATAAACTGACTTAGGGATTGCACTGGATAGGAGGTATCATGCCTTATTATTGTTAGATACAAAAGCTTCCCTATGAGCCTTTAATAACTCCCCCTGTCTTCCAGCAACTCATCTCCCTTACTTGTGTTTATGCAAGTATCAAACTCAGTGCTTGTAAGCTTCAAGTTCTGCTCCAATGGTGTCTCTTTAGGTTTAGAACCTGCCAAGCCTGCATTAGATACCATCTCTAATGCATATTTTCTTTGAGTCATAAGGATGTCCTCCTTTGATCTAGCAAACTCTATACCTAAAAAATATCTAACTTCTCCAAGTTCTTTGATTTTAAAATGTTGATGCAGAGATTCTTGTGCAATTTTTATTTCCTACAGATCATTTCCTATAACAAAAAGATCATCTACATTGACCAGAATCAAAACAAACCTGTTATCGACATTTCTAGTAAATAAAGAATAGGCATGCTTGCTTTGCTTAAAACCAGACAAAGACAAGACTTGAGACACCTTTAAATTCCATTGCCTAGATGCCTGCTTGAGCCCATATGATTTAAGTATCCTACAAACCTTATGTTCCCCTTGGCTACTAAATCCTTGAGGCAAAGTCATGGAAACTTCCTCTTCAAGATCTCTATTCAAAAACGCATTATGTACATCCATCTGAAATATAGGCCAGTGCTTGAGAGCAGCAGTGGCAATAACAGCCCTCACAGTAGTCAGCTTAGCAACAGGAGAGAATGTATCATAAAAATCCAATCCTTCCTGTTGTGTAAAGCCTTTAGCAACCAGCCTGGCCTTGAATCTATCTATAGAACCATCTGCATTGTGCTTTATTTTATACACCCATTTGCATCCAATGGGTATTTTACCAACAGGTAAGTCAACTACAGATCAAGTGTTGTTATGTTCTAATGCTTCTATTTTAAGTTTCATAGCTTCAAACCATCTGTCATCCTTACTAGCTTGATGAAAAGATGATGGTTCAACACCAGCAGAAAAAGAAGTAAGAAATGCTCTAAAAGGAAGAGAGAGGTGAGTATAAGAAACAAAATGTTGGATGGGATGAGATGTAGAAGAAGTGGATGGTAGGGGTGGATGAACATAGTCAGTCAACCAAATTGGTTCCTTACTAGTTCTCCCTAACTTCCTAGGTGGAGGTAAGTCAGGTGAAGCAGAAGAGCCAGGCTGAGCAGATGAAGCAGGGTGTCTGATGGAATTGACTTTGCAGAAGAAAATGAATTGGTAGTGAATGGAGGACTATGAGGTTCTGAAGGTGAAGCTGGCAAGTTAGTGATTGGAGATTAGGGTAGTAAAATAGGTGGTGCTTGTGTAGATGAGACTGGACCATGATCCAGTGTTGAAGAAGGAGAAAAGACATCAGAAATAGCTGTAGGCATGAGTATCGAGGAATCATGTTGTGATGAAAGCAATTTCTCTTTTGGACATTTGAAAGGAAAGATATTTTCTTTAAAGATAACATCTCGACTGACAAAGATTTTTCCAGAGTCAAGTTCATATAGTTTATAGCCTTTCTGTATAGAAGCATAACCTAGAAGAACAGCAGGAATGGATTTTGGTTAGAATTTGTCATGAGAGTCAAGTTTGGTAGCATAACAAAGACATCATAGGTGATCTAGTTTAGGGGAACAACAATGAAAAAGCTCATAAGGAGTCTTTCCATGTAGAACAATGCTAGGAAATCTATTAATGATATAGGTAGCTGCTAGAATGCATTCACTCCACAGTTTTAAAGGTAATGCGTCTTGAAATCTCAAGGCTCTGCCTACTTCAAGTTGGTGTCTATGCTTCCTTTCTACAACTCCATTTTGTTGGGGAGTATAGACACAACTACTTTGATGAACAATTCCTTTGGTTTGAAATAGATTAGAACGAAGAGAATTGAAGAACTCATAGCCATTATTAGGCCTGAAAATCTTGATAGTAGAAGAAAATTGGTTTTCTACCAAATGAAGAAAATTTGATAGAATCACATAGACATAACTTTTCAGTCATAAGAGAAAAGTCCAAGTCATTCTTGAAAAATCATCAACAAGATTCGGGAAATATCTATAATCGTTGTAAGTATTTACTCTATAAGGACCCCACACATCCATATGAACAAGTTCAAATGAACAATTTGATCTTGAAATGCTAGTAAGAAAAGGCAGCCTAGTCTGTTTAGCTAATGGACAAACATGACAGTTACAAGAACTAGAATTAGACAACAATGTTTTTATTGTAGGCATTTTCTTAAGAACTGAATGAAGATTATGTCCAAGTCTTTGATGCCACAACATAGTTGAGGAGGTAGTCTGGTTAGTGGTCATACAGGTGGAAGTGAGTAGTGCAGCAGGCTTTAAAGGATTGAGGACGTAGAGTCCATCCTTGAGGCTACCAACCCCCCCCCCCCCCCTCTACCTTGCCACTGAAGAGGTCATGAAAGAGACAAAAATCAGGATAAAACGAGACTATACAATTCAACTCCTTGGTATATCTGGACACTGACAACAGATTGTACTGAAATATAGGCACATAAAGCACATCAAGTAGAGTTTGAGTGTTGGACAGGGCACATGATCCTGTATGTGTAATCTGAGTACTTTCTCCATTTGGTAAATGGACTGAAGTAGATTTCGAATGGGGAACAAATTTAGGACAGGATAACAGATCTAAGGGCGAAACTATGTGATTTGAAGCACCAGTATCAATGATCTACTTAATTTGGTTAGTAATTGAATGACCTGCTATATAGGCCACACCTGCTGGTGTTTTTTCTTCTGCTAGTCCTTTTTCCTTGCTCAACATCCTGAGTATTTGTTGATACTACTCAGGTGTGAAAATTGGAGTTGCTGCATTGATCATGCCATTTATCATATCAATTTCATCAGTTCCTGTGTGTTTAGTCTCCTCCATTATACTCACATTGTGTGCCACAGGTGTGTAGTTGTCATTAGCACCTCTTCTTTTGTTGTTGAAGATAAAACCTGGTGGATACCCTACCAACTTATAGCGAGTATCTCTTGTGTGTCCTTTCATCTTACAATAATCACAAAACAGATTTATGTTCTTTCTAAACTTAACATTTGAGTTGTTTGCTGACACGAAAGAGCTGCTCTCAGTATTCATAGGTCCACTTCCCATAATTCTACTTTGTATACCATATCCACTACTTAGCCTTTGATTTTCTTCATGAACTAACATTGAATATGCTTGATCAAGCGAAGGTGTTGGTTGTATCATTAGTATTTGACTTCTTTGAAGAGCATAAGTGTCATTTAATCCCATTAAAAACTTCATAAGTTTCTATTAGCGAAGAAACTCAACAAATGTCTTAGACTTCTCACAGTCACATGGCTCAGGTATTATCGACTAAAACTCATCCCAGAGGTCATTGAAGTTAGAGAAATAGACTGATACACTAGAAATTTCCTGTATTAGGAAGTTGATTTCCCTATTCATATGGTACACCTTAGTAGCATTAACTTTGTTAAAATGATCTTTAAGTGCCTTCCAAACCTTCTGTGCATTTGAAGAGTACACAATTCCTTTCCTGAGTTCCTTACCCACAGAACTTTGAATCAACGCCTGAACTATGGCATTACAATGATTCCACCGCCGCAATTGGAGACATTCTTCTCGTACTGCTCTCTAGTGCACGTTCCATCAACAAATCCAAGTTTATTTTTCACAAGGAACGACTGCTCTATAGATCGTCTCCATTCTGAGTAATTTCAGTTCCAATTAGCAATTGAGGAACAAGTGACGTCCCTGGTGTGTTTGAGGGATGAACATACAGCGGATCATTACAATCGATCTGCTGATTGTTTGCATGTGAAGATCCAGCTGTAATTTGAGGTGAATCAAGCGTCATTTGAGCAGAGGATTGACAGAAAAAATCAGATTTGGGGAAATCGAAGACAAAGAGAAGAAGCGATCAAAAGAGCAGGCGAAATATGGGGAAAATGTAGGAGATTGATCGGATGAAATGCTCGTTGCTCAGTCGCGAAGAACCATGGCTCTGATACCATATTGAAATCTAGCCCTAGGTTCCGCCATTGGTGAGTTTGAGCGAGAGAGATCAGAAAAAACAATATAATATATATATATATATATATATATATATATATATATATATATATATATATATATATATATATAGAGAGAGAGAGAGAGAGAGAGAGAGAGAGAGAGAGAGAGAAATGAGAAGCAATTTTCTGTTAACTACCTTGAACTGAAAATGAATTGTACATCACCTATTTATCCTAACTAACACAACCTACTTTATGAAAGATAAAATTAACAACTAACTTCTTAACTAACTACCTTATAGAAGAGTACTACATAAATACCGAAATGTACACTATTTACAACTCTAATTTCAACACTTTTGGTGGGAAACAAGTTATCTCATGATTAATTATTCCGTAATTAGTTATCCTGTGATTAGATATCTCACCCTCCCATAGGGATAAAAATACTACAATCCCGGGATAACTAATCCTGGGATTAGTTATACCATGATTTTTTCCCAACCAAACGTGGGATACTTTCATCTAAAATTTAATCCCGAAATTAATTATCCCTTATTCCTCATACCAAAAGAGCCCTAAAATTGATTTGAGAGCTGGATTTACTTAACAGAAAAGGGCTAAATATAACCATGTACTATCAAAAAAGGTTTAAATGTATATTATACTTTGAGTCTATATATACTCTTTTCATTATACTATTGGTTCAAATATACTCATTTTCCGTTAAGTTTGTCCAAAGTGGACATCTAATCCTACGTGGAACTGACATTTGATGAGGTGGATGCCACATGGCTTACAATCTCAGCGCCCCTAATCCATTTTGCCCTCCCTTCTATTTTTTTTTCACCACTAAAATTTTCTTTCCCTCCACCACTATTGCCACCATTACCGCTACCATGAAAAATATTGTATTTCAAATTTTAGTCTTTTATACATGGATTAGGGGCGCTGAGGTGGCATGCTATGTGGCATCCACCTCATTAAATATTAGTGCCACGTAGAATTGGATGTCCACATTGGACAAACTTAACAGAAGAATGGTATATTTGAACCAATTAGTATTACTGTAGGGGTATATTTAGACCCAAAGTATAATGAAGGATATATTTAAACCTATTCTCATATTATAAGAATATAGTTGGCCCTTTTGCCATTTATTTAATACATCATGCGAACCATTTAATCCAAATAAACTTTGAACATAAATGATCATTACTTATTTAATGATTTACATTGTTAAAACCCAATGTGCGTATTTTGGTAAAGTTATCAAGACACAACGGTTGGATTTTTCCCCTTGGCATGATAATCCAAATATAGAATAGAAAAAGAGAATAAGATATTCCTACTAAGATGGGCCTTCAAATGGAAATAGGAGAAACTAAGGTTAGATCAAGACAAATTAAAGTGTATCCATCTAAAAAGAAACCATGATGTGAGCTCCAGTTGCAAACAAAAGTAGTAAAGCTAAACTCCAAATGTATGATTAACTGCATAAAATCAAAGACAAGTCTTTATCGTCACCTATATTATACTCAAAAATTGGATCGTTCTTCTCTTTTTGACTGCCTTAGTCCAAGGTACAACTTTCCTTTTCCACAAAAATAAAAGAATAAAGGACATGGATCACATGGTTTTCTATCTTTTCTTGGGTTCACCTTACTTTTTTTAACAAAGGAAACAACAAAGACCAGAACAAAAGCCCAAAATAAATTCCCAAAAGTAAATAGTAGGGACCCCATTTGGATAACTTATACTTCAATTTGATTTTTACAATAGAAACACTTCCACAAATAAAAAGCAAAGAACAACCCACCCAATATTATCATATCATAACATTTGGTTAGTCTAGAAACCATCCAAAAGGGCAAAAACATAACACCTACTTAATCAAACTTAATCATTATGCAGTTTCTACCACCCCTTGGACTGAAAAAAGAAGTTCAAAATCTATGTCTACTATTTCTTTCTGCAGCAATAGTTAGCAGCCTTGAAACACCTTGAGTCCATAGATCATACTCTCTCTGGTCTCTGCACTCAAATTCCACGACCCCTCGTAGAATAGTCTTCAATGCGAAATATCGGAAGTTGTCACTGCCAGGCAGCAAGTGGCGCCCCGGCCAAGCCGGAATATCTTTCATGACTTCCAGCACCACATCTGCAGAAATTTTCAAAAGAAAAAGCTAAAGAACACTACTACTACTAAAGATGACAACTTTATCCATCTTTTTTCCCGATCAAAGTTGTGAATTTCTTGCTTTCTCAAATCCCCAAATAGAAGGAAAGACCCACAATCCAATTGTGTTCACATCATGAGAAAGAGAAAGACAAAAAGCAAAGTAACACAACTTACTCTTTTTCTTTTTTGTGATGGTCCCAGCAACGTGCCTGCTCTTCATTTTCAGCATTACCTACAAAAAAGACACCCTCTAAGTTAAAACTACGCTGTAAGAAAGTAGATTCTATTGTGCACTAACTTTAACTTTTCATCATCAAGAAGTTTCTATTTTATCCCAGAAAATCAAATTCAAAAAGAAGAATCTGGTGAATTGTGATCATGGAATCATAGTCCAACGAAGAATATTTCAACTCAAGACTACTGATCATGCAATTATTGAAAAAGGAAGCCTTACCTGACCCATCCTATTTATGTACACAGACACTATCTTCCAGTGAAGATCACCTGATATAAGCACAACAGTAAGAACTCAATTTCATGAAACCAAACATAATATAGTACTATGACTAAATTCAAAATAATCATCATTTTGGATATTCAAGATCTTAAATATACCAATCAAACGGATTGAATTTGTACCTTTGCGTGTACGCTTTAGGAGCTCACCACCTCTTGCAAGCAATTCTCTACTGCATATTCCAAGAAAATTCTCTTCGGGGATGAGCTCGCCACTTGAACTACCATTGCTACCACCACCGTTGCCACTTGCCATCCCTTTCTCAACAGGAATTACTGCCGCTATGTTCCATACTTCCTTCAATGTTCTAGCCTTTAGCGTAGCCGCACCACGTAGAGCTACAAAACAATGCTCATTAGTTAAAGAAAATCTGTATAACACAAATCAAATACACCACCTAACAAGGAACTAGATATACTAACAGCACTAAATTTTTAATATCAAATTCCAATTATATTGGATTTCCTCAAGTGGACAGTAAATTAGTAACAGTTCTATGAGATAGTACTCTGACATAATTGAAAAAATTTAACAGTGTACCAGTTGCTGCAGCTGCAGTTAAAGTCATAATATCCCCAGCTGATCGAACGTTGACAGCAGAACTAACCACTGATGCAAGATGTTCGCGCTCAGCTCCCATAGCTTCAGCAGCTTCAACACACTGTGCTGCCACCAATGTTGCAGCAGATGCCACAGCCATATCAGTTTTCGCCATCTGCTCGTCTTTTCTGCTACCGGACGAGGCTGCAGTGGCAGCAGCAATAGCAGCAACAGCAGCAGCAACTCCTGCAACTGAAACAGCAGCATGGAGCTGCGCATTATGTGCCCTCGCGTCCTCTTTCTTCTTCTCTCTCCTATCCTTCAACCACCTACCAACCGTTTTCCCACCGCCACCGCCACCACCGGTCAAGGATGTGCCTGCAGCAGTAGCGCTGCTTCTGTACTGATTATTGACTGGTATGTTGTTCAAACGGCAGTACTGCAAGATAACAAAACTATATGTCAGCATCCATTGAAACAGTAGATTCAGTTAGACAGAGCGTACATAGCAAAATCAAAATGTTGTCACTATACTATTTCAGCTGCAAATAATGCCAGTAAAAATTACCAACATTCTTGTAAAGAACCTAATAGCAAATATTTATGAACCAAACCACCTCCTGACGGCAATAAATCTTAAATTGATTGATACCCCCACAAGAAAATTGGACCATTTTTACTTGGTTCTCAAACAAGTGTCCCTAGAAACCTCTCCCCACCACACACACACACACCTAAAACCCGAACAAGAATGAAATCCTGATTTTACCCACTCTGACATACAATGCAAGGGACAATTTGGTCATTTAAACATCCATTCATAACAAAGCTGTAGAGATGCCAATATCTTAATGTACTGTGCAGAGATCACTGCCCTTTGCCCACTACTTATCGGAAGGCCCGTCATGTACAGAGAAATTTTCATCCCAGTTAAATTTTTACCTAATTTCATAATCAATTAAACATACACTATCATAAAAAATAAATTAAAAAAAGTTAACTTCCAATAAAAGTAAAAGTGGAAGAAGAAGCTGGACCATAAATGATGAATTCTTAAATTAAAAACTATCATATAAAGGGAATTTCAAAAAGGGAAAAAGAAATGAAAGATTACTAAACAATTGATTCAAGACTTTTATGTTGTACATCGATTAAAGAAAAGCATCAATTTGGTACTCTTTTCTTACACACCTTAGGCACGGGGGAGCAGGGGGGAAGAGGGGGGGGGGGGGGTATTGGTTAAAGATAAAGCTGGGATATTGTCTCTCCAAGTCTCAGCTTCATTCTGCTATTTCAGAACTCGTGCTTTGTATCAGAAAAAAGAAAATTACCCAACAATCAGAAAAAAAAAAAAAAAAAAAAAAAAAAACCATTTGGGTCATATGTACACATGTTATAAAACAAACATTAGTAGAGAGAGAGAGAGAGAAAACATAAAGACACAAACCTTAGAATCATCCATTTCAGAAGGAGAAACAGGGGGACTGTCTGTAAGAGAACCACCATTTAAAGGTCCACTGCTGTGAGATAGTCGCCCTGATGTCCGTGGTGAAACATCCTGCTGTACACAACAATATTAAAAAATCATTCTATTTATTTGTACAAATTAGTAAATAAAATATTATAGAAAAAATAATTAAATGGGATCATTAAAGATTTGTATAACAGAACCCCATAAGGAAAGAGAAAAAATAATTAATTTTTCTTTTGACAGAGGAAATGGAGAGAATGATTGTTGGTGGATTTTGATTATTAAAATAATGAAAGCTCTAAGAACTCAGAGAGAGTAAAAACAAAGATCTGTAAAAAGCAAAATTTTCAATTAATACACTTATTGTTGATGTTTTCAAGAAATCACAAAGCAACAGTTGTGTCACATAAATGTCCCCGAAACTCAGCACTTCCACTACTCCTATCAAGAAACTATTGGTTTTCCCATAAATACAAAACAACAAATTCACAAACAACAACCCCAAAAGAAAAGGTAAAACCAACCATAAAGTTCCAAAAATTTGAAGAAAAATCCAAAAAACAATTTGGGTTTAACTTGACAAAAGATAGATGCAAACAAAACAAAAGCCAAGTGTGCTAAGGTGACACTAATTGATGAAATGAAAAACTCTTCAGAAGTCAAGCTTTTTATGTCTTCCATTTAATATAAGACTATTTTCAAGAAAAAAATTATATAGTATATATTATCAGCACAAGAAATTTTGAGCTTACTGTAGATATTATAAGAAGAAAAAATGCTTCACAGTAATTAATAGTAGTGTATATTATAACATAGAAGTAAAATGGTACTTACGGAAACAGACATAATGCGTTCCATAACAAGCTGAGAAGTTTCAGAAGAAGCAAAAGAAAAAGGGTTGCCAGAAACAGTAGCAGATTCATCCAACTCGCCAGCTATATCTTCAGGTATAGTACCACTACCACTACTCCCATTGAAAAGAGACTTTGTTAAAACTTGAGAAGGAGCTAAAGCTTTAGAGACTTCAAAAGCAGAGACACTCCAAGAACGAGACAGAAATTCCATGGGTTCTTTCGGTGTCTCCGGTGGTGGTGGACGGTACATTGGCTGAACTTGGTCCATTTTATTTAATGAGTAATTAGAGGATTGTTTTCAAGTAGAAGAAGTAGACTTGTTTTAATGAGAGAGTATTTGATGCTTTATAGATCAAAGGAATGAGAAAGCGAATGTGGAACAGTGACACTCTATGTGTGTGAGAGAGAGAGAAAGACAAAAAGCACAGCTGAAATGTCAGTGTTATAGTTTTCCATTAATTAGGATTTGGAAATAAAATTTAGAGTTTAACTCCTACACTGTCGTTTGGTTCACTTATAAAGTTGTGCAGAAATTACAGTATTGTCCAAAATAAGTGATTTTTTGGCCTTTTTCTTGTGATCCAAAATAAGTGATTTTTTTAGATTTCAAGAATGAATCAATTATTTTTTTCCTACATTGTCCTTGGAGTAAATAGTGTTGGAATATGTGTTAGGAGTGTTTATGTGAGATAGTAAAGGTTAATATGGTCAATTCTATTGCTAATTAATGCTAAAAGGTTGATTTCTTAATCTGTGTGAAAACATCCAAAAAAATTACTTATTTTGGACCGGAGGGAGTATTATATTATGAATTACTCTCTCTATTTCAATTTAGATGAGGTTGTTTTTTGTGGAGTCATAATATTTATGTGGTTATAAAACCTTCTCATTACGGGTAAAATAGATAAAATGAAGAGTTTAAAATTGAATTATTTTCAATTGTAGAAATGTGTCATTCTATTTTGAACGGATTAATAAGTAAGGTGTGTCAGCTAAATTAAAATAGAGGAGTAATAATCACTGAATTATTTAATAAATATTATTAATTTGTTTGATTCATTTGAAGTAAAAATAAATTATATGGTGTATAATCAAAAACACATACTACTGATTTAGTTTGAAGCTGACTTTTAGAATAAATAATCTTGGATATTCAGTGATGACGAAGAAAATGACATTTGAGAGAGTAATATTAGCATTTTAAAAACATTATCCAAGTTTAGTGTTAATTACACCCTCTCTCACCTTACTCAAGCTCGAGATGAGCAATAATGGAGGTCAAAGAGATAGAGAGTGCATAACGAAGAGAGAAGGAAACTATTTGGAATGAGCCAACCGACCTTATTTGATATTTGTATTAACAATATATACAAAATTGCCTAACTAAAAGATGAATAGCTAAAATAGCCTCTTTACAAATTAACTAACTAGACACTTTACAAGTATATAGCCACTGGTTACATAATTAACTATCTCAATAACCCTCCTCCCCCCCCCCCCCCCCCAAGTTGGTGGTGTGGAAAATACTGCCAACTTGTGCAAAACTGCAGAATGTCTGACTCATGTTAGTGCCTTAGTTAGAACATCTGCAAGCTGGTCTGTAGTTTCTACATGATGCAGTGAAATCAGCCCCTTTTGTAGCTTACTTCTCACAAAGTGACAATCCACTTCTATATCTTTGGTTCTTTCATGAACACTGGGTTCCTTGCTATGTGCATGGCAGACTGGCTATCACAAAACTGTAACGAACCGATCGGTCCTTTTGAGCATTTGCACTTCACTCGGTTGTTTGAGAGTATGAGTAGCTCCGTATGATGTATTATAACTTATACGAATTGTCGGTTTTGATTTTCAGGTTATTTAGAATTGATTTGGAAGAACGATTCTCAACTTGAAGTTTTAAATTTGAAAAGTTTGACCAAGTTTTAACTTTGTAGTATTTGACCTCGGATTGGATTTTTGATGGTTCTGTTAGCTCCGTTGGGTGATTTTTGGACTTAGGAGGGTGCCCGGATCGTGATTTGGAGGTCAGTGGTAGAATTTGGCTTGAAATGGTAAAAGTTGGAATTTTGAAAAGTTGGACCGAGAGTGAAATTTTTGATATTAGGGTCGGATTCCAATTCCGGAAGTTCGAGCAAGTCCGTAATGTCAAATGTGACTTGTGTGCATAATTTGAGGTCAATCGGACGTGATTTGATAGGTTTCGGCATCGGTTGTGGAAGTTTGAAGTTTCAAGTTCAATGATTTCGAATTTGAGGTGTGATTCGTTGTTTCGATGTTGTTATGTGTGTTTTGAGGCCTCGAGTAGGTATGTGTGATGTTATGTGACTTGTTGGTATGTGATGTGGTCCCTAGGGGCTCGGGTGAGTTTCGGACGGGTTTCGGAGCATTTTCCTTCATGATTTCACTGCTGGTAGCTGCTATTTGCTGGTGTTTCAGACCTTCTTCGCGTTCGCGAAGATTGGTACGCGATCGCGTAGAGTATCAGGGGAGTTGACCTTTTTCCTTCATCGCATTCGCGCCAGTAGCATCGCGTTCGCGAGCCTTTGTGTGGTCTGGGCATCGCGTTCGCACCCTTATGTATGTGTTCGCGTAGGGTAGAGATGAGAAGCTGGGGCTGGGGAGTATCCCTTCGCGTTCGCGAAGTAGCATACGCGTTCGCGTAAGGAGGAGCTGTTGTGAGTCGCGTTCGCGATGGCCATTCCGTGAACGCGTAGAGCATTTTTGGTAGCTAGTATTTTTATTCATCGCGAACGCGGTGGTTGTCCCGCGTTCGTGAAAGAGAAGGCCTGGACAGATTATAAAGTACTCTATTTCGAGGGTTTGGACCATTTTTGCATTTTGGGAGCTATGGAGCTCGGATTGAGGCGATTCTTGATGCAATTTTCACCATATGAATTGGGGTAAGTGTTCTCTACTCAGTTTTGGTTATATTCCATGAATCTATCTTCATTTTTGATAATTGGTTGATGAATTTTAAAGTGAAATTGGGGATTTTTGGCCTAAAGTTTCATAATACAAATTTTTGAGTTTTGAACACCGATTTGAAGTCGGATTTGAGTGAAACTAGTATGGTTGGACCCGTAATTGAATGGGTTGTCGGATTTTTTGAGTTTTCTCGAGTTTCGAGGCGTGGGCCCGGGTTTGATTTTTGGCCAGATTTGGGATTTGACTTAGGATTCGATCTTTATCATTTGTAATTGCTTCCTTGGGCTTTATGTGATATATTTGAGTTGCTTTTGGCTAGTTTTGAGCCGTTCGAAGGTCGCTACGCGCATGATGGCATTCTTGGAGCATCATTTGGTTTGCTCAGTGTCGGAATTGGCCTGTTTAAGATAAGTAACTCATCTAAACTTAGTGCTGAGAGTATAAAACCCTAAATTACGTGCTATGTGATTGATGTTGAGGTGAAGCACATGCTAGGTGACGGGCGTGTGGGCGTGCACCTTGTGAGTTGTGACTCTGTTGTTACCAGTGCACTGTTTAGTGGCCCACTTTATTGATATTTGTGTATTTCACCATGTGATAAAGTAATTGAGCTATACATCATGCTAGATCTCATGTTTAGGCTTTATGTTGATATTGTTGGGACCCCTAGCGATCGTTTCTTGCTGTCATCTCATTGATTTCATTGATGTTTCGTACTCAGTCACATTCATGCATTCATATCATGTCTCAGTCTCAGTTGTTACTTATTGATACATCATATCATTATTCCGGGTCAGTTTTTATGACATTGTGAGCCCGTGGTGAGACTGGAGAGATTGATGACTGAGTGAGGCCGAGACCTGATTATGAGTGACAGCTATGGGATCGGGCTGCACGCCGTAGCAGTTATATTGATGATTATGATAGCGCTTGGGCTGAAGGAGCCCCTCCGGAGTCTGTAACACACCCCAGTGAGCGAGGATGATATTGGGATGGATTTCCCTGGACATGGATTTGTCTGAATTATTTGATATCTGGAGATGGATTTCTCCACAGGGTTGGATTGCCCTTTTTCCTCGGTACTGGGTGACTTCTAGTCAGTGTTGTATATGTTCCGGGATGGATTTCCTTGGGTCGCATGGGCCATATACAGTACCGAGTGGTTGAGCATTTATATATTATTGAGGGATGAATTTCTCTGAACATGGATTTGTCTAAAGTACTTGATACCTGGAGAGGATTTCTCCACAGGGTTGGATTACCCTTTTTCCTCGCTACTGGGTGACGTATAGTCAGTGTTGTATATGTTCTAGGATTGATTTCCTTGGGCCGTATGGGCCATATACAGTACCGAGTGGTTGAGTATGATGAGTGAAAAGTGTGATACAGTCAGGTTGAGTACTCTGAGAGTGTGAGTACATGATTCATCTCTAGGATACATGGCATTGGCATGCATATATGGCATACATGCATAGAGACGCATTTCCTCATGCTGTACGGTATCACGTCATTCATAAGTTTTACATACATTGATATGTGGTTATAGAGAGGTAGTTCACACATGCTATCTGGAAAGGAAATGAAACACTACATTTACTGTTGAAAGGATTTTTGGGAAAAAGTTACAGTTTTCAAACTTACTCATATTTTAAACGATTCCGATAAAGGATTTGGGCTCTCATTGGTATACTTGAAAAGTGGAATTGTTTTCTTCGAAAATCTATAAAAAGTCTGAGCACTTTATCTCTGAGTTATTTCTTCATTTAATTGTTGTACACTGTTATGAGTTATTAGTGTTGGACCCGACCTATGTTCCAGCTCGTCACTACTTTCAACCTAAGGTTAGGTTTGTTACTTTTTGATTACATGGGGTCGGTTGTACTCATACTGCACTTCCTGCACATTGCGTGGAGATCCCAGATGCTGATGTTGCTGCATTCGATGGTTGCTGGATTTGAAAGCGTACCTGCGTTCCTGCTGTAGCTGCCTCTTGTTCATGGTAGCCTTAGGTTATGAAACTCTGTTTATGTACTTTTCAAACAGAAAATGTATTCTTTTCATGTTGGCTTTGTAAACTCTATTCTTAGAAGCTCATGATTTGTACTACCAGTCCTTGAGAAATGTAATCGAACAGATAATATATTTTGTTTAATTGACTTGTCCACATTATTGGGATTGGATAGTTATTAGTTGGCTTACCTAGCGGGTCAGGTTAGGTGCCATCACGACTAGCAGGTTTTGGGTCGTGACAAAAACACTGCAATGGTCTTGGGAAAGGAACTGTAAGTTCTTCAAACACTCTACTAAGCCACACCAATTCCCCCACTACCTTTCTTAAAGCTCTATATTTAGCTTCTGCAGAAAACAATGAAATGGTGTCCTGCTTCTTGGATTTCCAGCTAACAGGACTGCTGCCCAATAGTACAAAGTAGCCACTTACAGATTTCCGGGAATGCATACTGCCCAGTCAGAATCACAGTAGGCCCTGATAGTATA